TGGTAGAAACTTCCTGCAATTTTTTTGTGTGTCATTATTCTACATAATGTGATGTCACAGAAAAGGTGAATTGTTTGTTCCTGGACTGGAGTTGTAACACGGAAAATTTCAGTAATTTCTTGTTGGAACTTACAGATTAAACTTGGTTCATAACAAAACGAGTTGAGTGACTTTGTATATATAGGTTTAACAAACAAGTTTAGAGCTGATATTTTGTACCTTTGACAGAAGAATTATCATGTTTCTGTTGAACAAAGTTATGAGTAATTGAAGGTCAGAGTTAGAACCCGACCTTGGCTTTGTTCTGCAGCAGTTTAGAGCCCAGATTTTGTACCTTTGACAGAAGAATTATCATGTTTCTATTGAACAAAGTTATGAGTAGGTGAAGGTGAGAGATAGAACCCGACCTTGGCCTTGTTCTCCAGCTGTCTGGCGTCCTTCAGCAGGGCGTCGACCCTGGCAACGCTGTCGCCCGTCTCCCGGGTCTCACACAGCTGTTCCTGCAGACCGTCCATCGTGCCCTTCAACTGCACACACAAGGTCAACACAAGGTCAACATCAAAACTCCAAAACTCTAACTTCAAGTTCTCACAACTATCTCAGACTTTCCAACACAAACTTGTCTTAGCACCATTGCAATGTGAGGCTCAGCTGTAACATAAATATCAACAACTTTTGATAAATAACAACAAAAGTAAAGGTAAATAGCTCTGCTGTACCTACAGTCCACCATTAACAACAACAGAAAGGTAAACAAGTTGGCCGCACCTCAGTAAATAACAACAACAGAAAGGTAAACAAGTTGGTCGTACCTCCCTAAACTCCGTCTCGAAGTGCCTGAGCTGCAGACACTGGCTCAGCTTCAGCTCGTGGCTGGACCAGAACTCATCAAACGCCTTGTCTGTTTCCTCCAGCTGCAGTATTAACCTGCAAACAACAACAACAACAGTAAACATCAACAGTAAACAACAACATCAGACCAGAACTCATCAAACGCCTTGTCTGTTTCCTCCAGCTGGACTATTAACCTGGAAACAACAGTCAACAACAATAGTAAATAACAACAACATTAAATAACAACAGTAAACAACAACATCAGACTAGAACTCATCAAACGCCTTGTCTGTTTCCTCCAGCTAGACTTTTAACCTGGAAACAACAGTCAACAACAATAGTAAATAACAACAACATTAAATAACAACAGTAAACAACAACATCAGACTAGAACTCATCAAACGCCTTGTCTGTTTCCTGGAAACATCAACACATTTGTAGTAAACATCAACAGTAAAAAATAACAAAAGTACACATTAACAACAAACATCACCTGTAAACAACAACAAGTTAGAGTAAACAAGAGCAAATAACTTGCTTCAGATTTCTCCTTGTTTGTACTATTTTGCCTATGAAATACCCAGTAAAACTAGAAATGGAAACTCAGATGTTTTATTGCTCAGTAAACGTGCTCAGAACACATTTGCGGGAATTCGGTGTCTGTAGCTGTGTTTGTGAACAAGGTCATGA